CCCCCTCCGCCAGGCCTTCTCCCAAGATGGCCGCCCACACCGCCTCTCCCCCCCTCCGCCAGGCCTTCTCCCAAGATGGCCACCAACAGGCTTCCCCCTCTCCACACTGGCACCCCCCAAGAAGCTGGCCATGGCAAATGGAGCCTGACCCTTCTTGGGAACCCCCATGGAAGAGCTTTGCAAAACCGGAAAACGACCCTGAAATCTCCTCCAAGATGGCCGCCTACCCGTGAAGCCATCTTGGAGGGGAGGCAAGATGGAGGGAGACCCCCTCCCCAACCAAGTCTCTTCCAAGATGGCGGACCGTGAAGGGGAACTGATGTGGTGGCCATCTTGGAAGTTTCTCGGACAACCGAAGGTCGACGTTGCTCACTAAAGATGGAGGACAATCCTGTGTCCAGCCCCTAAAATCTCCCCCCACAGTTATGGGGCAACCCCCCCACCGTCTTTCATGTGAAGATCACAGATGCCTCCACCAGGGAGACACCTCCCCCCACCTCGTCAACCAGCTGCACAGGCATTCTTGGAGGGGGCTGGCGGGTTAGCTCTCATTTTTGTAGGTCCTACAAAAAGTCATAACGACCGTGGTGGCGGCAGCAAGGGACCGAGTCACTCTGGGCTTTTCCAGAGGCCGATTCCCCTGCTGGGATGGGGCAGAAAAAGGCCAGAAATGGGGCATTTTGTTCTGACTATGCCAAAAGCAACTACCATGTGTATAAGGGGAAATATTTTTAACTGAATTAAACTATTTATTGGGGTGATATTTAAACCTAATTCAGGCTCACAGTGGCTGCGCCTGGGGGGGGGCGATATTTCATCCTCCCCCGCCCCACCTCTCTACTTAAATGGGGTCAAGCGGAGAGAATTGAAATGGAAGGGAAAGATTTCCCCTCTAGGGGGCGCTGGCCCAGGGGTTGGGCAAAGGGGTACAGGTCCCCCCCAAATTGAGACATGACTCAGAGGACGCTAAATAGGTTCAATTCTTTATTGTGTCCAGGATCTCAAGAGGCAGTGAGTAGCTAAAGAAACACCCTAGCCTCTGGATCGAACACCCCGACTCCGCCCTAGAGAGTGCTCCTACCCCACATCACAGGGGGCTGCTAGAAGCCCCCCTAACTACTCTAACACACACGCAAGGCACCCCTGTCTTTTGGGGGCAGTCACCTTTACAGAGCGAAAGGTCTGGGAGTGCCACAGCAGAAGTAGTCAGCTCGGTATCCCACTACTGCCACCATCAGTCAGCCCCATGGACCCACAGTTGCTACAGCTAACGGCGGAGGGGGTCAGGCTATGGGGGTGTGGCTATAGGGGGCAAGTTGTGTTTTGGGGGGGTGAGAGGGGTTACCCCCAAAACACCAGCACCATAGATTAGAGGTGAGTGGCTGCGGGACAGCAGTGAGGCTGAAGGGTCCTAGTCAAAATGAAGTGCCCCCCTCATAGTAGCATGAGAGATCGGAGTCCCCTAAAACCCTGCACTACCCTAGGAAGATATAGCTGGGTACCCCCAAACCTACATTCTTGATATGACAATCTGGGGTCCCCCCCGAGACCCTACATGGGGTTGGGTTCTAACCCCTCCCTCCCCAGGTCTGCCTATAGCTGATGCCCCTCCCCAAAAAGGGACCCTCAAAAATTTGTGGGGTCTCACCCACTGGGATTTCTAGCCTCTCCCACTATTGGGGTACCCTGCCCCCTGCTCTCCTCCCACTAAAGGCAGCACCCCATTATTTGCAGGGTTCACCGTATCAGCTGGGGGAGGTTCCAAATATCCCCTCCCAGTTGGATTTTGAGGGGAAATTTTTGGAAGAGTCGGGGCCCCCCCACTTTCCAGGCAGGTGGGGAATAGTGCGGGAAAGGGTGACCAGACGGGGGGGCAGCGAATTGAGAGGCCCCCTGAGGCTTGGGGGTGCAAGGCATGGATGTGGGGTGCACAGGGAAGAAGGGGGGCACTGAGGGGGGGCTCCCCCACATTGCCAGGGGCCCGGAGGCACTAGCGGTCGAGTTTCTTGTTGATGAGAAGGGAGCAGGAGCTGAGGGCCCCGCCCAGTTTGGCCACCTCGGTGCAGGCTGCGGGGATCAGGGTGAGGTCGGGCAGTTTCTGGAAAGGCTGGGGGGG